AGTCATGATTCCATGGAGGAACAGAACCTCCACGACCATGCAACAGCATCGGGGCAGCAAAAGACCCTGTGGGGCTCAGCTGGGGCAGACCTCCTGTGGGCTCCTTGAAGCTCCCCACCAGTTTAACAATATTACCTGGGGCTTGGGTGTCTTTGGATCACAAGGTCTTGCAGACATAATCCAGGAGAGCAAGAATGTTTGGGGGGGGGCAAAGGATCTTCTTTTTAACCAGAAGGATGATAGAAGGAAGGGTTAGGAATTTGGAGAAGCCCAGAACATGGAATCCTGGAGGAAGCTTCACCTGAGTTTTGACATGCACAGCCTGCCTCAGGAGCTCTGAAGAGGGATCTTGGAGCCTCAGGTCAGGAGTTCAGGGACCCCTGCAGGTGTGGGGTGGGCAGGCTTGGGTGGAAGCCTGCACTTGTGTTCTGATTTGTCCTATCTCAGCGGTCCCCATTGCAGACTCCAGTGTCACTCTGCCCCCTACTTTACTCAAGCTGTCCCTGTGTCTGGTACCTAAGCCGTTTCCCTTCCCTGTACAGCTCTAGATTCCACCGGAGGTACCCCTCTTGGCTCTCATTGTCATCCTGGGAGCTTGCAGCAGGTGGCAGACACCTCCCTGAGCTCCACCACAGGCTACGGTGGTCAGGAGGAGCTGATGTTTGCTTCAGATCACCGCTAAATGAAACATAACCGGGTCTTGAAGGGTGGGTGGGGCATCTGACAACACGGGACCACCAGACTGGGAAGATGATACAAGGGAGAGACACGAAAGGCCATGAGGACTTGAAGGGAAGGCTTGGGTAACTTGGCTGGTACTGCTGTTCGGTTTGGAAAGGAGGGCTGTTGGGGAGCTATCGTGAGTTCTGAAATGAGGGCGGTGTTGGATGTTGGTTCAAGCAATAGAGACTCAAGGGAAGGAAAAAGACTAGAGAAAAAGAGGCCAAGAAGAGGTTAAACCAGAAAAAAATAAACTAGGAAGAAGCAGAGGACGGTGATGAGGCCCAGGGAGCGGACACTCCGATAAGTGGTAATTGCTACCATCCGTGCAGTGCTCACCAGGCTGCTGTGCACACATTATCTCATTCCGTTTAATCCTATGAAGTAATCATGACCGATCCTGATTGCTGAGCCCTGTTCAGTGCCAGATACTCCATACACATCTCTCGCTGCTCTGTCAGAAGCCACAGAGGGTAGGTTTTAGCATCCTTTCCTCTCTGCCATCATGCCGGGGACTCCGAGAGTTTAAGGAACTTACCCAACATTGCAGAGCAGGTCCATCTGGCTCTACTATATAGGTCTGACACATTGTTCTGAACTCAGATCTGAGGCTCTGAGATACTGCAGGAGCCCAGCAAGGATCATGGATCCCTCCATTCCATTCTGCACCCAAAGGGCCCCTTGTCTTGCCAAAACCCACCGCGCATATGAGCCTGGGGGACTCGATGCCAAGAATGCTCTCACTCTACCTGGGCCTCAGAGCCCATTCCTGCTGGTCCCCTTGTCCTGTGGGCCCCTTCTGGAGGCAACTCTTCCAGAAGGCTGAAGTGGTCTGGAAAGTAGGCAGAACTGAGAGAGGACACACCTCAGATGAGCATCAGAGCTCCTAAGTAAGGGACAGGGGCACCTTCCCAGGTTTCAGGCTTACATGGGAAAAAGGCCTCTGAGGTATAAGACACATGATAGGCAAGGCCCAGGCCAGGCAGCAGAGCTGGTCAAAGGAAAAGTGGGTGGAAGGGGACAGCCTGGGCCTCATCCAGAACTAAGCAGGGCTGCATTGCTGCTTGGAATGAATACACTCAGAGGTGTAGGCTCACACAGCCTTCAGGTTCCAGGAAGGAGCGCTAGCTGGGCTTTCCATTGACTCTTCTGGCTGCAGGATGGGGATTCTGGAACCTTCAGGGACCAGCAGCAGGTATGTGGACCCCAGATGTCTTCTCAGCTCTTGGGGAGCTGGTCAAGTGCACAAGGCACACCTAGTCAGCTGTAGGTCCTCACAAACATCTGCCCACTCCTAGCATGACAGCGTCAGGCTGAGCCCAAAGCTCAGAGAGAAACCGCCTTGAGGGGCAAATTCCACAAGACACTAGAAGTCCCTCAAGGACCAGGCCTAAAGGACAGGAGGATGTTATCAGCACCTCTAAAATGTTCCTGACGTAAACTGAGCCTCTTTAGATGGCCAGAGCGGTTGAAGTCAGTCTTTGTCATCTTGCATATCTGAGCAGTTTTGGGGCGTTGGGTCTGTCTGGTTTTATTTTATTATTTTATTTTATATACCGCCTTATGCATTTCAGACTGGTTTCAAACTCCATATGTAGCCAAGGAAGACCTTGAACTCCTGATCTTATTGCCTCTATCAGTTGGGATTATAGTCATGTACCACCACATCCAGTTTATACTATACTGGGATCAAATTCAGGGCCTTGTACATGCTAGGCAAACTCTCTACCAACTGACCTGCATTCCCAGCCCCCAGGAGGTAAGTTTTCTCCTTTCCCCCCCTGTCCTTCCTTCCTTCTTTTCCATTTATTTAATGTGCATTTGTGTTTTGCTTGCATGCATGTGTGCGTGATGGTGTCAGATCCCCTGGAATTGAAGTTACAGACATTTGTGAGCTGCCCTGTGGTTGCTGGGAATTGAACCTGGGTTATCTGGAAGAGCAGCCAGTGCTCTTAACTATTGAGCCATCTCTCCAGTCCCTCCTTATTCTTTATTCTTCTTCTTCTTATTACTACTACTATTATTAATTTCAAGTTAGCAGTTAGTATTTTAATTTGAGAATCATACACATACAAATGGAGATTTCTAGTCTCTCCACCCCCCAAATTGGTAGACCTGGTGACACGAGGCTGGTATTCAGTCTGAGACACCACTCTGAACTCCACTGTCCCTCAGAGTCTTTTATCTTTGCTGGCCCTGAGAGTCTGTGACTTGCACTGATTGTCTATGGTGACTCTGCATGGGGAGCAGTCTCCTGAGGAACATGGACTTGCAGGGGTAAAGGGGTGACGGTGTGTGTGTGCATGCCTGAGAGAGACATTGAGATGGCTATGGATGGGACAGAGGGAACTGCATTCCAGTGGGCCCTGGGGACCTCACCCACAGAGAATGACCCTAGGACAGAAATGTTGTGGGAGACCCCGAGAAGACCAGACGGTGACTCCAGCTCCCACTCTGGTCCCCTTAATGCCAGGTTTGGCCTCCCTGGCAAAGCCAGAGTCACAGGGTTTTCTGTAGTCACAGAAAGTTAAGCCTCACTCTAAAAAATGGCCAGGACCCTAAGGTTGGCTGTGGAAAGTGAGAGGCTCCCCCAAGACTGATGGGGACCCCTGTTCTGACCAGAGGTTGACAGTCCCATCGTTTCTGAAAACCACATAGAGAAGCTCTTGCTGAGTGTGGAAGATGTTGTGTTATTGTGTGTTTCATGGGCAGTTCTGTGTCCTTGAGTCAAGGGGGACATTGATGACGAGCTTCACGATGGAAGCTGCTGATGGAAGATTCCCTGATGCTGCCCATCCCAGTCCACGAATTCAGGAAGGTTAATTCAATAATTTCTTCCTGGGCTGCATGGTGAGCTTTAGAGATTACAACTCAGGGAAGCCAATATTTGCTTTATTGATTGCTGGTCCTGAACCAGGCAGGAAGTCTCTGTCAGACTAACATCTGCTCCTTAAGAAAAATGGCATAGCTGGTGCCTGTGGGCGGAGCCCTGAGCTGGGGGTAATTTTGCAGCTTCCAAAGGACTAGTATCCTAAGGGGTCCACAGGCATTGAAGGCCTCGAGGCCCCAGGGACTGGTCTGTTCCTGCTGCCCACATACTACATGGGACCTGTACGAGGCAGAAGAGATGGAGAGCATCCAGTTAGGGTACTTCTAGGCAAGGCACCAGGCTTCAGGCACCAGCAGTACCTGGTTCAGACCTGGTTCCAGTTGGTGGAACATTTGGGAAGGATTAGGAGGTGTGGCCTTGTTGGAGGAAGTGTGTCACAGGGGCAGGCTTTAAGGTTTCAAAAGAATCATGCTGCTGGGCAGTGGTGGCACACACCTTTAATTCCAGCACTCGGGAGGCAGAGGCACAGGCCAGCCTGGTCTACAAGAGCTAGTTCTAGGACAGCCTCCAAAGCCACAGAGAAACCCTGTCTTGAAAAAAACAAACAAACAAAAGAATCATGCCATTCCCAGTGCTTGTGGATCAAGCACTGAGCTCTCAAATGATTCTCTATCTGCCTGTCACCATGCCCTAGCTGCACCACTATAGACTCCAACGCTCTGAAACCATAAGCCCAATTAAATGCCTTTTAAAATAAGTTTATTAGTCCATAGTGTTTTATCACAACAGCGGGAAAGTAACTAATGCAAGTCCTTTTTGACCTTCTACTCTACCTAAGTGTAGAGTCTGTAAATGAGTCTAGACCTCTTCGACCCTCCCAGACTGGAGGGGCTATGCATGCAAAGTTATGGGACATCTGTTTTGATCAAGTTGTCAAATGACATGAACCACCTTTCTCCTTTGTTTGGGCACGTCATCCTACTCCCAAGGAAAAGGAGGTGACACTGAGTTGTACCCACCACTGATATGGGAAGGCAAACTTAACATAAGGCCAACTCACAGACAATGGAGGAAGTGCTGTGTCTGACCTATAGAATGGAGATATGTGCTGGCAACAATCCCACCATGGCCTCAAAGTCCTTTCTGCTAACAAACCTCATTCCTGAGAGACTGTGTGTCAGCTTCTTCTGCTCGGACTGATTCCTATTTAACACACATGAGGGCATCCACACCAATTCTGGCCATGGCCAGATCCAGCTGTTGGTCCGGTGCAGGCAGAGTGGATGCTATGGAGGACCCAGAGCTGACTGCCCATCATTCCATTATCTTTCCTGCTCAGGTGGATGCTATCCCCTGTGATGCGCCTATTCAGCCCCCGGTAACCTTCAGTCTCCCTGAGATCCACAGTGATGCTCTCCCCAGTTCATGCATGTCTTTCCGCTTCCCCCAGGCCTCTGAAGTGCTCTGCAGCTTTGGCTCCACCCTGTGGCTTCTCTGCTCTGCCCTTCTGAGTTCTCCTCAGCTGACAGACTCACAGGACCTGGGGCGGCTGGACTGAGCCTGGTTCAGCAGGGTAGGTGGAAGAAGGTCACAGGTTGTCAACCAGAAGACAATAGTCTCCTGTCAGTGTCATGAGGAGGAGAGTTTATCCCGGAGAACAAACGGCATATGCCAACCAACGTCATCATCATTGTCAGCATTGTCATCGCTACAGCTCTAAGCTGTCTCTGCCACTTCATTACGTCAACCCTGTGCCCTCTCTCATCTCAGCCTCCTTGCTCCAAAACAGTGGCAGTCATGCCACCCTCCTGGGGTTATTTTGAGAACCAGACAAATTGGTGGATATGAAAATCCTCTGAAAATACATGAGGAAGCCCATGCTATTGTTCAGATCTTCTCCAATTACACCCAAAGTCACACACAATTCCCCTGTGAGGATATGACTGTCCCCTTCCTTTGTGGGAACTCAAGTGTGAGCTTTACAGTTTACTCTTGAGCTCAAGGAAGATTCATGCAAGTTAATACTCTTGACGAAGACAGGCAAACAAAGCAGAAACCAAATTTCAGGACAAATAAAGCTGGAGTTCAGAAGTTGAAGCATCAACGGGTGGATGTACCAAATGTATGCTATTTATTTTTTCAGAAGAATGGGACAATACCCAGGCTAGAGGTGCACACCAGTGATGCCAGAGCTCCTGAGGCAGCACTGGGTAGATAACTACAACCTAAGGCCAGTCTGGTCTACATAAGGAGTTCTAGGCTAGCTGTGTCAACAACCAAGACCAAACCAACTCTAAGAGTTGGGTAACACGTAACCAAAATATAGGCCTCTATTTAAATTCTGGTTTTATGTAAAAATGGATTTCTATGGGGGGGGCTCAAGAGCCTCCCCCTAGCTAAGGAGTCACTGACAGTTGGTGGCCTCTGGGGGAGAGTATATTTCTGTGGAAGTGGGGGTGTGCTGGTTGGGTTTTGCCAACTTGACACAAATTTAGATGTATCTGTTAGGAGAGAATCTTAATAGAGAAAATGCATTCCCAAGATTGGCCTGCAGGCAAGTCTGTAGCCCATTTTCTTGGTTAATGACTGATGTGGAGGGCCATGCTAACACAGGTGTGTCATCCATGGTTAGGGGGCTCTGGGTGGTACATGAAAGCAGACTGGGCAACCCAATAAGAAGCATTCCTCCATAGCTCGGCTTCAGGACCACCTCCAGGTTTCTGCCTTGAATTCCTGCCTTGGCTTCCCTCAGTGAACTGTGGTCTATGGTAGGTGAGTCAAACAAACCCTGTCCTCCCCAAGTTGCTTTTGGTTAGGCTGTTTTATCACAGCAATAGAAACCCTAAGACAGTGTGACAGATGTCCCACATAGAGCTGAGCAGTCCAGTCTCTTATTCTCTGGATGGTGACCGGTCATGGCTCTCTTTACCATCACCTTTTACTGCAAAAAGAAACCTCTGTGGTGATGGGTGAAAGATGCCCAGGATAAGATCTTAAGTGGGAATTTATTATTATATCCATTTGGGAATAAATGTACTAGGTTCTCATCCATAAGACTTTGGCCCCAGTTAACTGTACCAGGTATGAGAAAATACCCCTGTGAGGAAGCCAACAGTACGTTTTCTTGATTGGTGATTTATATGGTAGGGCCCAGCTCACTGTGGGTAGGTGGCCCCCAGTTATATAAGAAAACAGGCTGAGCAAGCCAAGAGGAGCAAGTCAGTAAGCAGCACTTTTCTGCGGCTTCTGCTTCTGTTTCCGCCTCCGGAGTTGAGTTCCTGCTCTGACTCTAATCATGATGAACTGTGATGTGGAAGTATAACCCAGATAAACCCTTTCCTCCCTGAGTTGCTTTTGGTCATAGTGTTTCATCACAGCAATAGAAACCCTAACTAAGATCATGTCAGTTTGACACAGGCTAGAGTCATTTAGAAAGTGCCCCTAATAGATCGGCTCATGGGTAGGCCTGTGGTGCATTTTCTTGATTGTTGATTGGTATGGTAGGGGGCAGCTCACTGTGAGCGGTGCCACCCATGGGTATGTCAGTGACCTCCTCCTGGGGTTGCTTATCCTCTTCTTTGGTTGAAGTGTTCCTTCTAAGTCTCCTCTGTAGAGTTGGCTTAGTAACCTTAAACTCCTTTCATCCATTTTTACTACAGAAAGTTTGAATTTCTCCAATTAAAAGCTTTTTTAAAAATTTATTTAATATGTAAGAATGTTTTGTCTGTGTGTGTTTGTGCACCATGTGCATGCCAGGTACCCAAGGAGATCAGAAGAGGGTGTAACTGGAGTCAGATTGTTGTGAGCACTGGGTCCTCTGAAACAGTGACAAATGCTCTTAACAACAGAGTAATCTCCCCATGCCCCCCATTCAATTTTAATAGATAGTTTTGCTAGGTATAAATGTCTGAGTTTTACAGTTATGGCCTTTCATAGCCAGGAATAAATTCCCAGGCCATTCTGGCTTTAAAGTTTTCTGTTGAATATTCAGATGTTATTCTAATGAGCTCGTGTTTATAAGTGACTTGACCTTTCTCTTTTGTGGCTTTCAAAATCCTTTCTCCCTTCTATCTTTTTGGTATTTAACCATATTATTTCACAGGGAGTTACTTTTTGTCCTGTCTATTTGATGTTCTGTGGGTTTCTTATACTTGGATAGTCATCTCTTTCTCTAGGTTTAGAAATTCTCCTTCTATGACTTTATTAAAGATATTCTGTATGTCTTCATCACAATATTCTCCTTCTTCTTTTATGTCCATAATTCAGGGGTTGGGTCTTTTCACTGGTATTCCAAAACCCTCCCCTGCTCCATTCATATATTTAAAAAAATTCTCATTGGCCTTTATTGACGGGTCCAATTTCTCTCTATTTTGTCTTCCATTCTTGCCTCTCTGCTTTCAATATGATCTGTTCTGTTGGTGAGGCTTTCCACTGAGGCTTTTGCTTAGTGTGTATGAAATTCTTAAAGAATTAGTAAGAAGCATTTTTAAAAGATGGACTGATATGATGGTTCACACCTGTGATCCCAGAACTCAGGAACTAGAGACAGGAGGGTCAGGAGGTTCAAGGTCATCCTTGGTTACACAGGGAGTTTGAGGCAGCCTGGGCTACATGAGACCCTGCTTCAAAAAAATAAAAAAAGATGGATGAAAAATGTTGATGCAAAGCAAACACTGTCCTCCGAGTTGCATTCTGTGTTCCTCATAAAGACTGCTGTTCCTGTTTAGAGCTCGACCGCAAGCTTAGGATATGCCACTGAAGGAGAAGAGTGTTCTGGAATTCTGGAAAGGGGAAAGCAGGCTCCAGGAGTGGCAGTGCTGACAAAAAGGCTCAGGGCCACAAAGGTGGTGGCAAGGTAATCAAGGTCAGACACGTTGCATGTGAAAATCATGGCAAAATCATGGAAGCCGTGGAAAAGTTAAGGGTCTGGAATAAGATTCAGTGATGTGCACACAATATAGCAAAGGTAAAGTCAAGCAAGAGAGTGACTTGGGTTGGATGACCAGAGGGTCCATAGTGGGACCATTTCAAGACGCAGCATGTACCTTGCCTGTAAGTGGGACGGTTAAGCCTGTGTGTACAGATCCACCAGTTAAGACAAAATTGGATATCATATTGTTAGTTAGAGAGAGAGAGAGAGAGAGAGAGAGAGAGAGACACTCCTATTCCTTCTAAATTTTAAGTTGGGGTTGAAGTCCTTATTTCCCCGAGATAACCTCTTTGATACTGAAAGTTAAGAGGGGGCTGGAGGGACAGCTCAATGGTTCAGAGCACTGGTTGCTCTTCCCGAGGACCTAGGTTTAATTCGCAGCACCCACACAGTGACCCAAAATAGTCAGTTCCAGAGGATCCAACGCTCTCTTCTGGCCTCCCAGGGTACCAGGAATGCATACAGCACACAGACATACATGCAGGTGAAATACCCATGTAAGTAAAATAAAATAATAATAAAAAAGTTTTTTAAAATCAAGGGATGGAACATATAGGGTTTTTTCAGTGTAATATCCAATTTAACTTAAAAAAAGTTAATGAAAATATAACAGAACCAAAACATTTCAAAGAAATATACTCATTATCCATTCCAGTAATTCATTTAACTATAGGATATGAAAAATAAATTCATGAGGATAATCACTTTAAAATACACTACCATTTTGTCAATATTTTACACACACACATACCTATAGTGGAAGCAGCAATTCTCTCCATAAACATTATCTTCTTAAAATCTTGAGGTGCATATCGGAGCTACAGGCAATATCTGACATAAAACTTCAGGACAGGACTTTCAAATTTGGGCTTTCACTGATACAATACAATGACCAAGGTCTAGAACTGTACAATGCCTAGACATTCCCATAAGAACCATTATTCTCAGCTGGGCGGTGGTGGTGCACACCTTTAAACCCAGACTCGGAGGCAGAGGCAGGCGGATCTCTGAGTTCAAGGCCAGCCTGGTCTACAGAGAGAGTTCTAGGAGAGCCAGGGCTACGTAGAGAGACCCCGTCTCAAAAACAACAAACAAGCCAACCAAAAACCATTGTTCTCTTCGATGTAGACTAAATGTGTTAGTCACTGTTATTGATCAAGGAAACTTATGACCGAAAGCACTTAATTGGGGACCTGCTTAAAGATTCAGGGGCTTGGTCCATTATCGCCACGGCAGGGAGCACGGTGGCACACGTGGCCCTGGAGCTGGAGCTGAGAGCTACATTCAGGCCTGCAGATGGAGGGTGGGATCATGAGATGAGATAATGCTGGGCAGGAAGCTGTTGGCATCAGTTTGGACATGTGCTGGGGCCACACCCGCAGGTCATCAGTCTTGGAGGCAGGCACCTTTACCTGCTGAGCCATCTTGCCCCCTGTACATTCCACCTTGTGTAAAACTCTCATGACAACTCCATGAGGGAAGCCATCCCTTGTCACCCTCACTTTATAGATGTATAAACTGAGGCTTAAGGTCATTTTTGGTGACATCCTACAGCTTGTAAACTGCTGCTCTCAGACTTGTGCCTACTCTCAGCACCTTATCATGAATTCCTTCTGCATGTCTGCCCGGCCCCCAGTCGCTCACTGTCTGCTGCCTTACCTGACTAGCATTGAGAACAAGCCTGAGTAGGAGGTGTTGAACAACACTCATAGGTTTGATAGTTAAGTGTCACCCCCCCCCTCCCCACTGATTAGTACCACTGCTTCTCTGTGAACTTGCAGGGTGTGGGAAAACCTTTGTAGCTGGGCTTCCTCTCCAGAAAGCAGGTATGTCACCCTCCAGTTCTCCCCCCCTCCCAGTCCTGTCCCGTGTCCCCTGCCTCCCTGCAGCAGCCTCTGAGTCTACCAGACTGAGGCGCACTGGCTGCATTTTCAACCATCCCAAGACTCAGGTCCTGACAAGGCCCTTGGCTTCCTGGCAGGGAGAGTATACAGAAAGCCCTCCAATAGAAGTGACGGAGTCTCTAAACTCCAGTTACGAGGTGTCACCATAGCTCAAACAACTGCTTCTTTAGTGCGTAAGCACACACCAGAAATCTGTCCGCTTTTGGGCAGCGGCTGATGGAAAAACAGGGGGATTTTCCATGTATTTATTATGT